CACCCCCACCCCCTTATTATTTCTGTCTATCTTTTCTTTGTTCACAATGAATTTAACGAATAATTTTATTTTGAAATGATTCTTCTGCTATGCTATGTGTCTTTATTCGACAAGAAATCAAACTCTATTTTATCACTGCTCTAGTTATCCTACGTATTGTTACGTATCGGATGTTGGTGGGCGACTGGAGAGTTATGCTACTTTTAAGATTCCTCTTCTTTTTCCCTCTGATGTTCTTGTCTGTCTGCCTGTCTGTCTGTCTGTCTGTCTGTCTGTCTGTCTGTCTGTCTGTCTGTCTGTTTGCTTCTCAAGCACTAGAAGAGGCTGGTCCGCTAACTACATGGTGTGGTTTGCTTCTTCGCTCCTCCTATCACATATCTATCGTCATTATTGCTCCTTCTTTTCTTTGAAAAGTGTTAGCTACTCTCTGGTAACATCTGATCTAATCTATCGCACTTATATTATGATCTGATTATGTTGCATTTGCCATAAAATTCTTACGTATGGGTTGAATGTACCATACCGTTCTTACTTCAGGTTGAATGTATCATAAAATGTTTACTTTTTTGTTGAACATGCCACAGAAATTTTACTTATGGTTTGAATGTGCTATAAATTTCTAGTTTATGGGTTAAATGTGCTACACAATTCTAACTTATGGGTAGAATGTTTCATAAAATTCTCACTCATGGATTGAAGGTACCACAAAATTCTTACTTATGGGCTGAATGTGCTACAAAAGTCTAAAATTTGGGTCGAATGTTTCATAAGTTTCTCACTCATGGGTTAAATGCACCATAAAATTCTTCCTGAACTCTCTAAGGACGTAGTGGACACATAATTATTATGTCCGACCAGCAGAAAACTTAACTTAATGTTGCTTCCCATTTTGAAAGGACATACTAAATGTACAAAAAAACCACGAATTTGAACGTTTCATTGAATAATTATGTATGTTGTTGCCTGTCTTGTGAAGTTTCAGATAAAGAAACTATAATTATTTTTTTAATACCACGTATACACAAAGAAGTTACGCGTCTTTGGGTTTTTTTTAAAACGCGTCTTTTAGTTTGTTTTCTTTTTTTTTAGTAAAGAGAAGCACATAATAATGGTCATTTAGTGCTGGGAAAAATAAGACTGATAGACAAAAGCAACAGAGGGACAGTCAAAAAAAAGTAGGACCTACCACTGGCGCCCTCCAACCACCCGCCGAAACGCGTCTTTGAGCGTTCAAATGACTAGAAGGCACGTCCTCAAAGATTTTTGTATTTTTTAGTTTTAGTTTTAGTAGAGATTTTACTGCTTAAGGTCACATGAGCGGCAAGGGGTGGATGTCAACAGAGAGGTCCATACAAGGAATAAGGCTTACTCTGCCCACCTCTCTAGCTTCACCAGCTCAAAGTCGGCTTCGACTATCCAGGCACAGCGGAAATAGCAGGTGACAAGTGTGTGACAAACATACAAAAGAAGAGGGAAATGACGATAGAAAGGATTAGGAAAGAAAAAGCAACAGTTCCCTGTTGCAGTTCAGGCACAGTTATGAGCATGACATTGATGAATCAGCCCTTTTACAATTCTACTGTGCATAAGAACATGTTTATGTCCCCCCTTTGGGAATAGCCTAAAGACACTGACGTCAGTGGCACCTCCAGGGGGGGTTGTTTTAGTGTGAATTTGCTTCTCTTTACAAAAACAAAACAAGCTTGTTTTGTTCTTCTGACCACCACCACAACCACCACCACCGCTACCACCTGCACACAAACTTCCACCCTATACCACACATTCCCCCATGCCCTACCCCCTACCCCGCTCACCCCACATCCGCACACTCCCACCACTCCCGTTAAAACAACCCTTACACATCCTCCCGACAACCTCC